ATCAATAACATCCCTTTGGAATGATTGATGCGCTTCTTTTGCGCATCATTTGAAGTTCTTGCATCGCAAAGCCATAGTAAGCTCCATTTTCGTCCATGCTGTTAGATCGGGCATTCACCATTTGTCGTATTTTTCTTCGAGTGCCAGCGTCGTCCTCTCTTTCTGTATGGACCAGAAGTATGCGTGTCGGAGGATAAATTTTAAGACGCTTCGAAAACTATTATCTGCATTCCACACTAGATTACTCTATTCAAGAGGTGCTTGATTAAGTAGCCTTAACATTGGCGATTAATTGCTACAATAATTATGCTTGAGGGTTTCATACCACCCGGAAAACTTTGGTGTCACCCACCTCTTTACTGTCTTATGTTGTTTACGCTCCATATGAGCATGCGATCTTGAGGCGATACATAGCCCGCTGGGTTTCTTCTTTACGCCAGTTTAATTCGTTATTATGATTTGAAGGATCGGAGATGCTGTGTCCCTCATTCCCAACCACAGAAAGAAGAACCTTAAAAATTTAACCGTCAAATCTTTGGCTGCAATAGGCTCAGTGGAAAAAATATCGTCTAGTAAAAGTTGCTGGAGTAAATTGAGAGCCTCCTTTTGGTAATGTTTAGTTTTCGCAGACTTTTTGCGGTTAAGTCATTTCATATTCACCTAGTCAACTGGATTTAGTTGTTCTGCAGTAATTTTCGCACTTTCATTTTGTGATTTTATTGCAAAACGCAGAGCAAATTGTTATCATGAATCTTTTGCTCTTTTGTTGTTTTAATAACAAATACTGCTTCAAGCCCAAAGTCGCATCGTCCATGGGATACCTATCTTTATACAGGTAGATTTCCTCTGGAACAAGTGCTTCAGTTAGACCCTATTGTGGACAAGTCTTGCCTTTTAAAGGCTGTTTTTTGTCCAGTAAATATACTTTTTTTATCTGAATGGTCGAAACGTAGTCGACTTCTCCTTCCTCCTGTCATTCAATCCCTCATTGGTACCACTCCACTCTATGGTAGGATTTTGGGCAAAGGAATTTGTGCAATTACCTTCATATTTGTGTGACATTTTGACTTTGTATCTTTTCTGAAGTCACGCAACCTTCCACCACCTCCGCGACCATCAGCACCTCCGCGAGTGTTACAGAAGTCGTACACAATGACTTCTAGCAGTCCACCACCACCAAGTGACGTGGAGCCGATCAGTCCTGTGCCCGCGCCTTCGCCAGTGCATTCAGCTCCTGTTGTGAGTTCCTCACGACATCTACTGATGGATTATTAGTTTCAGCGCCTTTAATCATTCATTAACTGTGTTATATAGCAAATGAGATCAAATTATACTAACGCTACATCCAGTCTGGACAGAAGAAAACTCTATCGAAGTAAAGAGGAGACGAGAGTCGCTAAGATGGCCACTCTTAGCCGGGTAAGACGTTGTTTCACTTCAACAATGCCTTCGATATCCCTTGGTCCCCTTTCAACCCAAACTACCCTCCCTTCTTCACTTAGCCGATGACTATGCACGAAACAACCTTCACAGTGAAGCGAAAATCAAATGAGGGCCATCAAAGATCCCTCGACGAAGGCTCGCAGCGTCCCAAGTCCGGGCAGAAGGTGATCTACGAGCAGAGGGATTCAATAACTTTGCCCAAATTCTTGTTGGGCAACAAGAAGAAGTCGGTCGCGCCTCCCGTATCTCGTCCCCAATTGATTAGCAGTCCGACCAATGAGGGCAATCGCGTCAGTGTTCTCAAATCCATTGCGACTGCAGAGGATGCTAACATGGTTATATCACCGACGTTTACTAACGTAAGCCCCTCTTCACGTGACTTGATGTCGGACTATTTCAGTTTGAGCTTCCAAAACTGCAGTCACTGGTGCTGACATCATCACACCGATGTGCCTTTTAGATGCAGTGTAGCATGCCTTCGACTCGTCCAATCACTACCACCTCGGTCAGTATTCAAACAACACCTCTAAGACCCAAAGTACCCGTCTCAAGTCTTTCCCGTGGAAAGGTACCGTCCTGTTCCTGATCATCCCCACCCCCTCCCCTCGCCAAAATTATTCTCACGCTGCAGTGGTCAAGAGTGATTGAGCCAAAAGCCAATTGCAATAACTGGTGTGCACATTAACATTACCTTCGGACGTTGTCTTGCCCTTTCGTGTCGTCGATGCCAGAGCACACATTGTTGGTAAAAGGAGAGGAAATAACTGGCGGGATGTTGGCAATTTTAGGCGCGACCAACGCTATTGGCTTTAGCGACCAAGTCAGGGGGGTCGAGTGACCATCACCAGGTTTCACCTTTTAAGGAGGTCTATCACCATAATTTGATCAGATCCTCGATTAAGGTTAGCCTGCCTGCTTGTCCATCTACTGCTCTTATTGGCCCATTAACGCACTGCATCCATTATCAACGCTTTGCAACACGCATTGAATGCATATTGCTTCCCTCGTCTCTCCACACTCTCTCATCATCTTCCCTTCCCCTCCCTCTCAAATCATAATCTGCCCCTTGACTGCCGTCTGTCGACCTCCAGTGGTTGGTATAATTTTAATTTACGTTATGTGATAAATAACA